GTAATGGACTTGTAAATTATGTAAATAAGTTGTATGTCGGAACTTTGTGACGAAAATATATGCCACTATAGGCGTCCAAAATTGCCACCCCAATGACAGTGCCTTTTACGTACCCCACTCGGTGTTGGGAATGGTCCGGTAAGCACAGAAAGGAGAAGGTGGATTTTCTTGAACAGAATGCGAGATAGTAAGGTTTGGGGAAATTTCAGGGAAACTTAGAGACCTTCAAGGTGATTCCATCTGTTTCATGGAAACTGCAGGAGCTTTTAGGAAATTCTGGAAACTTCAGGGATATTCAGAGAACTTCAAGGAATTCATGAAAACTTTAGATAACTCCAAAGAACTTTGAAAAAATGGGAACACTTTAAAGATGATCCTAAAACCTCAGGAACATTAGGTTTCGAGATCTTCAGGAAGGCTCAGAAATCTTAAGGGCAGTCACAATAGCTGTAGTAACGTTCTGACTTTCGGGCACGTTCAAAGCTCAGCGAAGGTAAGTTTCAATATCTTCAGGACAACACCATGAAGGTTAGCATAATTTTGAGGAAATTTTTGTATGTTCAAGTATTTTTGGGATGCTGGAAAATTTCGGAAAACTTTAAACATGTTTTTGAAACATTACAGAATTACAGTATAATTAAGCTTAGGTCAGAACTTCAAGCGGACTTGTGAGAACTTTAGGGTAGCGTCGAGACTATCAGGAAAGACCAGTTAACCTTAGGGCAGTTCAATTAACTTCATGAAGATTGAAGGAACTTTACAGATGCTCTAAGATACTCTGGCAATTTACGAAAGCTTTAGCAATTTTCTGAGATCTTCAGGGAAGTCCAGAGATCTACAAAGAGGTTTAATGATTTTAAGCAGTTTCATTATTTTCAGTGATGTTCCTAGTATTTAGCGGAAGATCAGATAACTTCAGAGTATTTCCATTATATAATTACAAGAAATTGCAAGAAGTTTCGAAAAATCATGGAATAGGGTAGGGGTACTTCGGCCTAATAGCCCATTTTGGGCCTATCGAGCAGAAAACTTTTAATAAATCCATGATTTCAGAGCTAACAAGTTAGTTATGCATTTGGTACAATACTTTAGTTAGTATGCTACCGAACGAAGTCAATGAGAACGCGTGATATGAAGGTTTGCAGCCATTATTCCTAAAAACAAAAAAAAAAAGCGCTCCCACCGAATCAATTTTTATCTTCATCCGATAGGCTGAAGTGAATTCATTGGCGTTTCAATGGTGTTTCAATGCGTTAGACCGAGTTTAGAATCCTTAGGCCGAGTTTGGCGTCAAGAAGCAGTGTTAGATTTTTGACAATTTCTCAACGATTGGTTTCTCTATATCAAATATTACGGTACGTACGGAAAGGTAAATAAATTTGAAAGCCATCAGTAATAATAACATTCCGTTTGGTACTAAACTGCTCTAGATAAAGACAAACTTAGTGCGGGTAGTTAATCCTATTCGCGAATTTAATGGTTTTCAGGAAAGTTCCATGAATGGGTGGAAAATTCGTGAAAATAAGAGAAGCTCCAAGAACTTTTTGAAAATTAAGGGAACTTTGTCGAAGTTTAAAGATTTTACAGGAAGTTCTATGACCATCAAGGAAGTATCGAAAACATCAGGACAATTTTAACAGCTTCAGAAAGGACCAATAAATTTCAAGGCGAGTCAAAAAAAAAAAAAAAAAATTATGGGAAAATTCAAAAAGTTCTGAGAAATTCAGGGATATCTGGAGAATATTACTGAAGTGCAGAAGTTAGGGAAGTTACAATTACTTCAGGGCAGCACCGACAACTTCAGGGAATTCAAAACATTTGGGGAAGTTTAAAGATCTTGAAGAATTAGTCATTTTGCTATGGCTTTTCAGTCAGAAAAAAAGTGTTGTTATAGTGCTATCCACGTTTCAATCCAGGGGTTGCAATCTTCACCAGGGTTAGTTTAAGTATATGATCGTAAAGATGTTTGCTCTGAAAAATTATAATTTTATAATCTTTGAAGAAGGCCAAGTACAAAGACCGAAAAGTCTTTCATAAACCATCCTTCGATCAACACTCTACGAAAAATTCATGTAAATTTCAGTGTCCTGAGACCGACACATGCAAGCGGTCCTTTTGACATAAGAATCAGCTGAAAAGGACGGGAAAATCAATTCAATCAAACGCACTTTTCGTCGAATTACATATGTTTCAGTTTCAGGACACTTAATTTTACATGTCATGTTTGTTTGCGTTCCATGATTTACGTCAAAGCTGAATTAAAAAAATAGTAATTTCTAAGTGTGCACCGTTACACTCCTATATCCGAACAATTTAGTATTTTTTTTTATTTCACGGCAATTATAATTGCTGAATCATAATAGTTTACCCGTACTGTAGTTTTAATAAGATGGATCTAAATTGTGTGTACATTATGAACTTACAATCATGGACACTCCTTAAAGGAGGCGCACATACATAAAATCAGTGAGTAACCAGCTCTAAGTGTTCATACTGATCCTGTATAGTATAGATAGGTAATCAAATCTGGGATTGACGAAATATTCAACATTCTAAGATAACTATTCGAAATACTGGACTTTGAATAATTATAAACAGAGTTTGATTAAGGTACAACAAAACAGAAAATATTTTAAGGATCGAATCAAATTTTCGGTTATTTCCTTATTTTCCTAGTTCAGTGACCACTCTGCGATTCTGCGGAGAATTTCATGATTATACTGATGCATATTAATATACCAAGGCAACATTTTAAAGTACCGAACCTGCAAATGCGTTTCGATGCTGTTTTCATGCTCGTTTCTCGGTAACGGTAATATTATTATATTTTTCTAAAGTTTTTTATTAGTTACCTTCCATTTGATATTTTGATCTGTGAAATCAGCCAAGTGGTTCAAAAGTTATGAATTTTTGATTAAAAAATTGATTTTTGGTCCACCGTAGCATGGAAATAGTCACCCTAATGACAAAAAAAAATCGAGTCTAAAATTTTGCGATAAGGAACAAAATTACCATTTTTACGAAATTTTGCGAACCAATATATCGTTTTGATATGGTATGGCTGTATATACATATTATATGATCGTTTCTCGGTAACCAATATCGGAGAAAAATAATAAACGAGTTCTTGTGAAATTTTTGAGAAATAATCATTTTTTCGTGCAGATTTTGGACGACCTTCAACCAGCGATTTTATGAAAACGAAGCAAAGCATTCCAGATTTTTCAAGCGTCATAAATAAGACCCTATTTTCTCGAGATTCTAATAGAAAAATATCGAAATGTTGTGCCACGGCAAAGTTTGAATGGTATTTATCGTCATTTTGAATTGCTCAATGGTATGATCCATTAGAAAAGAATTGTTAAGGAAATTCCAAGAACTTTTCTAGGAAGTATTATTAAAATGGAATATGAAAAAAATAAGAAAGAAAGAGAGAGAATCTCAACATTATTCTTGGTAAAATTCAATAAAAGAAAACTGTGGGAATAGTAAAAATAATTTTTTTTTAGTTATAGTCACTAACGCTCTTGGGTCATTCGTGACTTGTCCGGGGGTGAGATTAGAATTCGTGACTTTGGCGTGAGAGGTATGGATTCTAACCACTACGCCGGGGTCGCCCCCATGTAAAAATAATAATAACAATCACAAGTAGAAATTTATATCAAGTTTCATAGACGTATCAAGTTTAATAGACAAACCATTACATTTTGCATCGAAAAATGTTGAGGGTTGTGACATAAAAAAAAAATCAAGGGTTTGAAAGTTTGAAATTGTGAGGATTTTGAAAGGAATTTAAATTTTGTTTAGTGGCTGAATCGTAAAGACCTTGAAAATTTACGCACTGGTCATTTAACTTTTTTTTTTTATAAATCAGACTTAGGAAAAATAATATTGCGGGCTTAGCTAGAAATATTGTGAATACAAAAAAGGCCTGTTTTAATAAATTAGGAAAACATTTCGCTTGAAACTTACCCATCAGTGATTCATGCACCAAATCTCCTAGATAGTCCAAAAGGGGTTTATCCCATTTTGAGTGTCCAATCTTCCTTTTCATCCATCCCTGACGCCCTCGCGAAGTTCCAACGTGTCACTCGATTATCCGCAATTTCGCAATCTTGCATCCACACACACACACACACACACACATGGACATCCAAATTCAAAAAAAGTACACCACCAATCTTCGGTCTTTTTCAAGGCAACTTGAGTTAAATTCTTTCGTTTTCAGCAGAACTGGTGCTCATATTTTTAAACTCAGAGGGTTTCACCGCCAGCGTCTCCGGCTAATTACTTTGCGAACGCTTTTGTCTCACGATTCCCGCTTTTTTCCTTCGTCCTGTACGTTTTCCCTCGAGTTCGAAATCGCATGTATTCTGCCGTTCATCATGTAGATCTGCGGTACCTACTCTCTGGCCGGTGCTGCCTGCCAGTAAGTAGGAACCTTCACATCGTTTCGATAAATTTTGCGTTCAACTGCTCGCGGCAGGTCATCGGGAATATTTTTATAATACCCCTCATATAACTTTTCTTCATTGCTTTGAACTGCCACTGTCGAATATATATGCACACATCACTGTTGCTTCCTCTTCAAAATTTCCCAGCCGTAACGCACACTTTGAACCATTCACTCTCACACTACCGCATCACGTGTCGTGTGCGTACGAATCATGGGTCGAAAGGTGCGCGCGTCGCTTTTCCTCACTCACTTTGATTCCCGTGAACTCAGCCTGCTGAGGAAAATTTTTCGAGATGAAAATTTTCAGCCCAGGCGGACAATTTCTTCTCTTTATGGGAATATCTGAAGCAAATCCTTGAAAACTGTTATGTTCTTCTTGAAACCGGTAGGAACCGGTAGTCTCGAGCACGGATCTAACTTTCACAATCATTCATAGCGTGGAGTAGGCAATTTAGTCACACTATTCACGGATTACCTAATCCGGGATGGAGAAAAGAAAAAAAAGGTATGCCTCCTGCAGTAGAATTCAACCAAAATCACACACCACTGTCGTAAATCCGGATAGCTGTTCACACACTGCACTGCAAGGACACGATCCAGAACGCGTTCCAGCACACGCTGCTGAGGCTGCTGCTAGTCTGGACACTGCAAGAAACCGTAATCCACGGGTCGGTTAATTGCAGGAACTTTCGGCTGAGAAAGATGTTCCGCGATGTTCGCGACTGGTCCAACGACGAGCAACTGACGACCGAACGGTGCGGCGATATTTTAAGATCCGAGCGCGGCTGCGAAGCGAAACTACTCAAAAATATCACTTAGCCACCCCGGGCAAAAGAAGTGAAATTCTTTTTCGCTCGCGGCTTTTCTTCTTTGCCTAGCCGTTCGTTCCGCAGACGATCTGAATCACGTTTTCCTCAGACATTTCTTCTGAACCAACCGACGACTTCCTGAAAACTTGCCACTTCTTAGCCAACTATCGAACGACAGGACTCACTCTGACCGCAGTTGAGGGAAAACCACTCCTTTCCAGATGCCAATATCGTTGTGGTTCTTCTCCCTGCAGCTAAATTTATACGGTTTACCGCAACAGACTTGCCTGCTGATGAGAAGCAACATGAATAACAGTACACTTACTGATGAGCTGGCGAGCGGGAAAACTGCGAATCCTAACTGTGTGTTCTGCACAATGCAGGTGCGAGTGTGTTGGTGTGGAAAAACTGTACGCTCTTACTCGTCGGCGGGAGGAACTTTGAGAATATAATTTCACTTCATTTCGCCACGACGTCCAAGCCTCGACTGAGCGGTGGAAAATCGGTTCAATCGTGCAGCAGTCTGCGCTTTCGAATCGGGGAAAATGTGGAGGAAAATTTGAGAGTGTTGCTTGCAGGGCTGCGTTGGACGGTGTGTGTGGACGGAATGCAATTCTTTGATATAGAACAGAAGTATTAAATTGGGAAAATTCTCGAATAATTTTTGCTGCTTCATTAAATAGTATATCAATAACAAAATAAATGGTTTAGACATGTAACTTCAAAATGAACAATTCATTATAATGAAATTGGGCAATTATTCATAATTAGATTCCAAACATGTTCACCCAAACGGCGCCGGTGGTGTAGTGGTAAGCGTGATTACCTCTCACCCCAGCAGGCCTGGGTTCAATCCCAGTCGGCGCCGCCGGGATGTTCTGAGGCATAACATCTCTGATCACGCCTTCCTTCGGATGGGAAGTAAAGCCGTTGGTCCCCGGTTCATGAGTTGATGGGTCGATAGGTATGGTCCAGGTGTGGGAGCTGCCTTCCTGGCACGTCGGTAGCATTGGTGCTCAGCACGGAAAACAAGATCGACGGAAAAAAAAAACAAACCAAAGGAAAAAAAAAAAAACATGTTCACCCAACTTTCGGAAACGTACTAATGTTAGTCATGGCAAAACAACTTTAGAAATCAAAGAGCACCTGACATCACAAATCTTTATGATGCAGGACTATAACAGACAAGTGACTTTCATCTAAAACTTATTTCAGTTAACTTAAATTGAGTTTAACATAACCTGTGCTGAGTAAAAAATCTATAAAATAGCAAACGTTGTAATTGAATAAATGGAATGTAAATTTAATTGTTTCATTGTAGCATAACAAACTCCCAATAGAATGAACTAAACCCCATGTACACAACATATAGTTTCAGTCCTAATTATAGTTTTCATAACTTTCAATATTCTTTGTCCTCTTTTTTCGAGAAAGATTGCCACGCAAATTGCATACATCGTGAGATATTCATCTATATTCTTGTTTACTTTCGAAGCTTTCGGATTGAGCCATACATAACGGTTTGAACAAAGAGAAGAATTTGGGTGATTGACAAAAAAAATTGTGTGTGCTTAGTGTAGTCATCATTTTCCAAGTGACGGCAAATGAAATAAAAGTTGATGACAGATGCTTAATTCTAGTTGGAACTAGCAATAAAATTCTAAATTTGTGGTATTCATCTGAACAACTTTTCCAAAGACAGCTTCCTTCTATGTAGTAGAACAGTCAAGTCTGTGCTGTACAGTATACAAAAGGTCTTATCCATTTGAATAACTCTACTAAAGACAGTAACGAAGTAAAAGTGACTCACTCTCTGAATAAGATTAGTTTTCAGTGCATATAGACTGCTTAAGCAAGTGAAGCTGCATGGTGAGTGAATTCTGAACTGAGAGGCCAATTATGCGATAGGTCTGTCCATCCGAATACCTTCACTGAATACAGAAACCTGCTTTATGGTCGTGCTGTCAAGTTAAAACAAGGAATGTGATGCACATTTCGCACTGAGCTTAACCATCCAATAAGTCTTATCTATCTGAATCACTTTTTTTTCTTACTGAGATCGCCACTGAAAACGAATCTTATTCAGAGATTGAGTCACTTTTAATCATTAGTATGCAGAAATTTCTAAAAGCTTACACTGAAAACGAAACTAACTCAGAGAGTGATTCACTTTTACTCAGTTATGAGTAACTATTGCTCATTCGTATGGAGACATGTCTAGAAGCGTAGGTCACTCTGAGCATGAGTAACCTACGCTTTTAGAAATTTCTCCATACGAATGAGTAAAAGTGACTCACTCTCTGAGTAACACTCGTTTGCAGTGTATGTTACTCAAGCGCCGAGTGACCTTCGCCTTTAGAAACTTCTCTATACAGAGACACACAAATGAACTACTCACTCTTTGAGTTAGTTTCATTTTCAGTGTAAAACGCAACGTACGCCCCTTTTTAGCCCTTGTTGTCAAACGATAACTGCAATAAAATTTAGTAGTAGTAAAAATATGTTTATATCTGTTGATAATGATTGTACATTGAATTAAAATTTCAATTGATTAGCCTATCTGGGTCTGCATTTTTGTTTCATTTGATATTATAATTTGATATTTGCAGTTTTCAACCAGTTTACAGAATATCCGTTGGGGTGTGTTTAGTTTGAGTTGAAAAAATGTGATAACCTACCTAACTACGAGTATAACTTAACCTAATGTGCTAGATTACGTATGACCTGATGACCTGATCTTAGACAGGTGTCTCTGAACCTTTCCAAGAAGACCGTTCTTTGCTCTTCTAGAGCCTGAAGACCAGCCAGGCGGTGGACCTCAGTATTTTGCGTCCGTGCAGGACTGTTTAGGATCATCCGAAGGATCTTATTCTGCATCCTATCCCTATGGAGTTTAAGGTGATGGCATTTGACGCAACTCTCCCAGATTGGCATACCGTTATCCATTACGGGAAGGATGATTTGCTTGTAGCCAGCAAGCTTGTTTTTCAGGGCCAGAGTGGATCTCCTGTTGATGAGCGGATACAGGGATCTCATCAGGATGTTGCATTTTGTTTTCGTTTTGTCAACGTGTTCCCTGAAAAGCAGTTTGCTGTCGAGTGTAAGGCCGAGGTAGACTACCTCTTTGGACCATTCCACCACTGTGCCAACTTAAAATCTTATTATTCTCAGACGGAGATTTGGAATGAGTAAACTTGATGACCAGGGATCTCATCAGGATGTTGCATTTTGTTTTCGTTTTGTCAACGTGTTCCCTGAAAAGCAGTTTGCTGTCGAGTGTAAGGCCGAGGTAGACTACCTCTTTGGACCATTCCACCACTGTGCCAACTTAAAATCTTATTATTCTCAGACGGAGATTTGGAATGAGTAAACTTGATGACCTGGGTCTTTGCCGCGTTGATACGGATCTTCCAGCTGTTGAAATATTCAGACAGGACGTCCAGGCCTCTCTGAAGTTTGGCAGTCAGAGCTCCGATGACCCTACCCTTGTAGACGATGGATGTGTCATTTGCAAACAGGGACAACGATCCACCATCAGGGAGAGCCGGCATATCGGAGGTGAACAGGTTGAACAAGATGGGGCCAAGGATGCTTCCTTGTGGAACCCCGGTGTTCCACCGATGTTGAATGCATCTGAGCCATTCAGAGAGACTCTCTGATAGATAGTTTTATGAGCTTCACAATTTTTTTTTCAACGTCCAACAATGCCATGGCAGATGTTTTGGATACAGTCGAGCGACCTTTACAGAAGCCAAACTGTTCCTCGAGCAACAAGTTGTTTTCATCGGCAGATGACAGGAGTAGCTAGTAGACTGTCCTTTTGAACAGTTAAGATAACCTCGAGAGAAGGCTGATGGGTCGGTAACTTGAAGGAGAAGACGGATTTTTCCCAGGCTTCCGGATGGGGATGACTTTAGCTGGCTTCCAGCACGAGGGAAAGTAGCCAAGTCTTGGTTGAAGAATCTGGAACTCAAGTGTATGAGTTCTAGATTCAGAATTTGGTCGAAACCTGGGGCTTTCATGTTTTGGATGATTTGATATTGGCCAAAATTTCGTCGAAAATCGTTGGCAATTTGATGGAGGTTGGCTGCATTTCCAGCAACCACAGTTTCGTATGGACTTGCCATGTTTAGTCCGAGATTATGAGAGCTGTGTTGACCTTAGCATTAGCCTTCTCTTCAGGGGTTATCAGATTGGCTACTGAATCATTGGGTTGATTCAACGGTACAAGTGGTGGCTTATTTTTAAGGATTTTTGTTAGTTTCCAGAAGGGTTTTGCACAATATGGGAGAGAACGGATCTTATTGGAAAAATCGTCATTTCTGAGATCCATCATCCTGACCTGAATGATCTTTGTTAATCGATTACACTTGGTCTTCAAGTTAGGCAGAACAGAATGCTCGTACTGCCTACTACTGGTGTTACGGCGCCTAATGAGATCTTTGGGTGGGCTGTCAAGGTTCAGAGTGATACTCATCTGTCTGGATACTGGCACGTGTTGTTCCCTGGCCCGGGATATTGCCTCCTCCATAGATTGTAGACACTGGTCAACGTCTTCGGACGTCTCCGGTTGGACATCGGAGTAAGCCGCAGCGATGGTGATGGGGCCGACATGAGTAGAAACTTCCACCCCTACGGCTTCGATCATCTTCAGCTGGAAGCTCGGCAGCAGCCGACAGTTGATGTTCCTCCTTAGAGCGCTGACCGCTCCTCTTACCCCGGAGCTGTTTCGATTCAGCCTCACACGCCGAAAATCGGGAAGGAAGACGTTAATCTCGGGCTTCAGGTGCGTTTCAGAGATGATAGCGATATCGATATTTCGTTCGTTGATGGGGCCTCTATAAGCAGAGTCGGTAGAGGCGCAGCTACAAAGCAAGACCATTCTGGACGTGGCTGGGTTCAATTCCCGGTCCGGTCTAGGCATTTTTCGGGTTGGAAAATA